CAATGACCTTGTGTCTTGCCGTCCTTGTGCAAAGTGTCAATGGTCGTATTTTGGACAACTGTCAAGTCAGCATTGCGTAACTTACAGAACTAGACTGAGACCATTTGAAGGCCTGTGCAAGTGTTTTGAGTTAATTAGCTGATTAGACTGTGGCACCAGGTGTCTTCAATATTGAAACTTTTCACAATATTCTAATTTTCTGAGATACTGAATTTGGGGGTTTCATTAGTTGTCAGTTATAATCATCAACATTAAAATAAATAAACATTTAAAATATATCAGTCTGTGTGTAATGAATGAATATAATATACAAGTTTCACTTTATGAATGGAAATACTGAAATAAATCAACTTTTTCATGATATTCTAATTTATGACCAGCACCTGCATATATGGGGGGTGAGGGGTGGCTCTGTGATTGCAAGGTCACCGGCTCAACTCCCAGGACCGATAACATTATATGAAAACAATTATATGAAAAAATCTGTATGCCTTTTTTATAACCGTCTGTTGTTGTCGGCTGTTGTCCATTGTTGTCATCATTCTTTGTTGAAATCAGGTCTCTCTTGTAAATGAGTCCTCGAGGCTCAAAGGGATTAACCTGTCTAAATAAAGGTTGAATGAATGAATGAAAATCATTAAAATGTGGGTGGGAGAGGTGAAACACCCACATCAGCCTCCACCTTCATTTGCCCCACTCTGGGCCCTTGAGCAAGGCCCTTAACGCCCCCATTTGCTCCCCTAGGCACCTTGGATGGCAGCTCTCTGCTCCACACAGAGGGCTGTGGTGCAGATCAACTCGTAGTGAGGCTATGACACGGCAGGCGTCTTTCTGCACATACAGTAAATGATTAAACTAAAGGTGGCTTTGAGCGGCAAAACACCATTTTAGAAACATAAAATTACAACAAATTGAAAAATAAAACTTTCCAGGAAAGGATATTTATTAAAACAATATGTTTACAAAACAATGCTAATTTGTTTCTGGACATGTGTAAAAACATTGTTTTTGTCACTTTAAGCTTATGTATTGCTTCGTTTTTATATCGTCACATAAAATTTGAGATTTATTTATTTTTTTTTAAATGTCTCGTCATATTTGGCATATCAGGATAAAATAAATTAGTAAGTTTGGTTCTTGTCCATTTTTCCATCTTCCAAACGTTTACACAGTCGGGGCCAAAGTAACCATTGACCAAACAACTTGTATGCAAATATATACACACTCTATAAATTATTTTTTAAAGAAAAACCTAGTCAATATTTTGTGTCTCAATCTGATAAACTGGGACATTTCTTTTCCCACCTTTAAGCACAACATTTGGCAAAATAGATTTTATGTATGATTACTATAAATGCAATACTTTAAACAAAAACAAACAAATCAAAGTGCAGCAACAGTCCCAGCATCACAACAGCACTCTAATTACATGTCAGATGATTTTCATTTGTTTACGATTGTTTGTGTGAGTACATCACAAGCTGGCTGATGGTTTTAAATTTTAATTTCAGTGTAATCAGGTCACAATGCCAGAAACTGACTTTTAGGGTTTGCTGTCAAAAATTAAAAATGCTGTAAGGCTAAGGCCATGTTTCCATGATAACAAGGAGTCGACCAGTTTTCTTGGTACGAATCCGACTGTAAAATGTAATGTCTTTAAATCTCTCTCAAATCCAATCAGCTCCACATCACAACAAAAAAACTTTGAACATTTTTACTACCCACCCCCCACCCCCCTTTAATTTAACCATTCTAAAACCATACATCTTTGTTTAGAAAGTCTGAAAAAAAAAAAAATTTCAAATGGAAAACATTATATAATCATAAAACCTACTTTCTGTTTTACAGGAAAAAAAAGTTACATTCTGCTTGCTGTAGCAAACCAAGACAACACCAAACTCATCACACAAATGGGTTTACATCAATGACAGAAACTAAAAATCCAACGCAAGCCGTCCATGTTTTAAAGAACTTTAAGTAAAATATGTCGCGTATACAGAGGTGATGCAACATGTGGCATTAAAGGGAAGGGGCACTTCTACCCAAAGCAGAGGAATGTTGCTCTGAACAGAGGGTGCAAACAGTTTGGCAGCACGGCTTCATCTTCTTTCACCTCTCCCTAAAAGAACCGACCAGAGTACTGCCTCACGCTGAAATGCAAAACAAAAAAAAGAGAAATTCAAACATTACGAACATTAATATGAACAGGAAATGACGTGCTTAATCACGTTGAGACATTTTGAGTATAAAGCTGTTGAAAAGAAAGTTCAGGTCACGCCAATGGCCACAAAGAATACGCAGTCGTTTAGACCATCGGGGTAGTTTGACACCTTTTAATCCACATTCAGCGGTCCAAATTCAAATCAGAGCCACGATGTAGGACGACCTTATGAACTGAGGCGACTCCATGAAGGCAGACAAAATATTATGACACATTAGGTATGAACAGGGAGGGACTAAATAACTCTAAAAAGAAGGAAATCTGGAAGTTTGAATGATTCTAGGAGCCCAAGATGAGAATGTTCAGGTGCTCTTTTTTCAGATTCACAGAAAAATTCTTAATTTTTTTTTTTTACTAAATACTATTACAACTCTGGTCACTATAAAAACAATACTTGAATAATTTGGTGTGTTTAAAAGTTCCAAGTAGCCAAATATTTCATGCAAAAACAAAGAAATGATGTTTCCATGTAGTAGAGGGTGAGTCCAGCAGAGCAGATCCTTCAGCTTCAGGCTGAAGACGTTTATGGGAAAGTACGTGCCTGTTCTGCAGTAAGTACTGGGCGTTCTGGATCTGGTCCTGTGTCCCTGTGATGGTGATGATGCGGTCCTCAGAGCCCTCTAGTGGCTCATCAATCTTGATGGAGGCCCCGGACTCGTGGCGGATCTGCTTGATCCTCTGGCCTCCTTTACCAATGATGGAGCCGGCCAGCTGCAGAACAAGCACCGCATCAGCCAAAGGAAATTCAACCAAGAAGCTTTTTAAAATATGAATCAGTGTTCCTGCTTACAGTAGGAGCTGTATTTTACTTACATCTTTTGGGATGGTAACTTGTGTTGTGATGACCGGGCCCCCAATATCACTGTATGACCCTCTACCACCTGGAATGTGAGTAAACGATGATTGAGAGAAGTGGGTTTGACTGAAGCATGCAAGAAAATTAAACAAAAGTGAAATTTTAAAATATCTTATCCACGTTTTATTATAATACGAGTTCAACTTAACATGTTGATTTATTTCTACAATCAGGTAATTCTAAAGCTCTACAAGATCTTACAAAACATATTTTCCTGCCAAAGTGCTATAGTCAGATCCGAGAGACAGATCCTGAAAAGACTTGGGAGAAAAATATTCGCAACAGAAACACGCCATGTCTCAAAAATAAACAAAACTGGTTTCACTCATAGAAAACATTTATGGTTTACTTAGCAAACTGGAGGGCAAGCTTACTGAACAATTTTACATTCTGTGCAGAATTTATATAAAAACATGAATAAATAAAAATAACTTACCATATCCACTTCCACTCTGCAGCTCAGGATTGAATAAAGGGGAGAGACAAAGATTTAAGATGAATAACTTGCTTTAAGCGCCATAATAAATTGCAAAACCAATAAACATAAGCATCATTTTACAGTTACAATGTGGACGCATCCAGAACCACTGAAATAACTGGGTGTTTCCTTTAGTTTAAAAAAAGTCATTACATTTTAATATTCTCATATAATCATTATAGAATAATTGTGTCGGGCAGTCTAAAAAGGTAAAGCAGCTGTTGAAATAAGTCCGTCCGCCCATCATCTGTACCTGCTTCTTCCTTTTCGGCTCAAAATAAATTAAATTCAATAAAACTGACCTAAGAATTAAAACTAGTCGATTTAAAGCTAAATAGCTTAAGGACAACTTTAAAGTTTTTTATGCAAAGAGCTCACGAGGACAGCCTCACCTGTACCCGTGCAGTTTCTAATGCCAAGCACCTGAAAGCATCACCGGTTACACCTGCTGCTCTAGTTTCTCATTTATTGTCAAGAACAGCTGCCGTGTTTGTGGCCAAGCCAAAAACGGTTTCATTATCAGAGCACACTTCTGCTCTGTTTTGAACATGTCTGTAATTGTAACAGCGAGGCTCTTAATCAAGCACCTCAGTACATAATGTGAACTAATTTCAGATTTAATGCAGCCAGGGATGTGGCTACAATATTAGAACAAAAATAATAATTGTACCTGAAATCAATATGATGCATTCCTGGTTGATTTCTGTTTATTAAAGCTTTTAGAGGAGTCTCAAAACAGATGCAGCTAAAATAACAAGGTACGAGTGTGATATTGGTGGTTTTCACCACTTTAAGTCTCAGGAACTAGTTGTATTTTTTAACAGCCTTACTTGCAGCTAAAACCTGCAGAGAACCACTTTAGGAACTCCTTTGGTTTCAAGCTCAAGTCGATTGCTAGCCTGGCGGATCTCTGGACTTCATATTCAGCTCCTCCGTGCATATGATGGAGACAACTGTTGCCAGGCAACAACAGGTCTATAAGAGTGTGCTTACGCAACGAAAACAGCAGCGATGTCAGAGCTTCTGAGCTGTACTACACTCAAAGAGGAGGAAATGCAATCGTATTGTGTGAAGCACAGTTCAGACAAATATTACACACTTGTGAAATAACAACCGTGCATTAAAGCAGCAGCTGACGACACTCACCATGCTGTCGTAACGGTCTCCACGGACTCTTCTGTCACTGCAAAACAAACAGGGTGATTTCTGAAAAAGACTTTCTGGCTCACAGAAATGAAGTTCCCTGATTAGACTGATATTAAGCAAGTACTGTATTTTCCGCCGCACACGTCGCACTGCCTTATCAGTTGAATCAGTCCAATTATGTCTAATACAGTGGAAAAAATAAATATGTCGCTTCGCCATATACGTCGCATCTATTATGCATCACCGCTGACGTGTCGCGTTTGTTACGCGTCACCGCTGACTAGGGGTGTAACGGTACACGTGGGCGTACCGAACCGTTTCGGTACGGCGTGTTCGGTTCGGTCCACGTGCGTACCGTTTCGGTTATTTTTTCCATTTATTACATTTTATTAACGAGAGATTATGCGCCGCGGAACTAAAGTTCCTAAGTGTGTTTCAGCACGGCGCTATTACCTTGCAGCACGTGCAGCATTAGCTTCTCGTTGTGGTCTCCAGTTTGGGAACATTATGTCTTTCTTGTTAAAAGACAAGTGAACAAATCCAAAGCTGTGATTGGATCTGCAGCAGCAACACGTCTAACTTGTTAATGCTCTTGAAACGACATCATCCGAACGTGAACGCCTCTTCTACAAGCAAGAAAAGCAGCTTGGTGCAAACACCGATAACAGCAGCATTTAAACAACCTTTATCAGGTGATTCAGATCGGTCCAGAGCAATAACACAAAATGTAGTTTTTAAAGCTCTGGATCTACGTTTCTGTTGTTGATGCGCCGGCTTTAAAGTTCTTGAGCCCCGCTACGACATCCCATCACGTCAACACTTCAGCCAAAAAGTTGTAGAAGCACTTGATGAAAAAGCTAAAACTGATATTGTCAATAAGCCCTGGACCAGATTAAAGCCCTGTCCTGATGATGAAGATGATGATGAGCGAGAGATTCAACCACCTCATAACAACCGTTCAAGAAGACGTATTGTTCTTTTATTATTATTATCTAATTAACTTTTTTAATTTAAAATTATAATCTTATTAACTCTTTTTTTTACCTCTTTGTGTTTTATTTCCAGTCTGGGACAGAGATAGCAGCTGAGTCTTCTTCCTCTTCAGTGAAATCCACCAGAGATCACCTCCAGCTAAGAAATCTGTGATGAGTGAACTCTGAACTTTTCCAGGGACAGGTGGGAGCAGGTCCAAGAGGTTGTGAGTAATGAGGCCAAATACAGCCACACTGCAACATTAACAAAGCTCTACCTCTTTATTCCTGCTACTGTTGTTAGTGAGCCGTTTTCTCCACCGCTGGAGATATTCACTGCAACTAGATCTGTGCTTTTGGCAGAAAATGTGGACAAGTTGGTCTTTTTGGCCAAAAACTTAAAACTTGACTAGCTAGATTGTAAACAGTCTGTTGCTGCTTGTTGTTCTGGTTCTGACTGTTACTGTATTTATTAACATTTTTAGTATTGTTAGTATAGTTTATTTATTGTAAAGAGTGCCTTTTATTTAAAATATCATCCAAATGGGTCGCTTTTATTTATTTTTATACAAACGTATTGTTTACTTGGCATATTTGCAAAATAAACATTTTATAAGTCTTTATTTTGGCCTTTTTTGTACAGAAAATGAACCGAACCGAGCCCTCCTTGAAACTGAACTGAACCGAAATGTGATTTTAGCGCACCGTTACACCCCTACCACTGACCACCCGGAAACGTGGGCCGGTGTTGTGCCAAAAATCGATTGGCTGCCAAATGGCGGCCGCGGGAGCGTACACGGGAGGACTTTTAACAAGAATTTAACAACATGAACACTTAAAAGCAATTGTTTGCTTGAAATTATAGTAAAGGTGTGTCACAGTTTACCTTTTGCTTAATAAAAGCACTTTGACGGTCAAATCAGCTGCATTTCAAAAGCAGATACGTGGAATTAGGAACGCGCAGAGGGACGACTCGCTGTGCAAGACAAGCACCTACAACAATTGTTTGCTTGCTCGACATTAAGGGGTGTCTCAGTTGAACTTTAACTTAATAAATGCACTTTAATGGTGAAGTTAGCTGCATTCCGCCGGCGCGGTGCAGCGAAATGAAGCTGATTTGACTGGATGAAGGTGGCAGTCTATAGCAAGCCGATCGTGTCATTAATAGCCACTTTTACCTATTATACGACACAACGGCATGCCATGAGACTTGAGCACCATCTAGCGGCTGAAAATAGTAATGTTCAATATTTTCAATGTCAGAATGAATGAAAACAGTCGTATCGCAGCCAAAAATTGGTTCATAAATATGGGGAAAAAACAAATAAGTTGCTTATAAGTCACAGGGCATGTAAATTATGCAAGAAACTGTGACTTACAGGCTGAAAATTATGGTATGATAATTTCCCAATTTCCCAATAAAAAAAGAAATTAAAGGCAAATGTTCACCTGGGTCTGTCATCCATACTACTGCGGTAGCTGCCATGTGAAAACCTATCTCCACTTCAAACAATGACAGAAGAGAAAAACAGGATGTCAAATGATTTTTTTTCTTCCAAAATAACTACATTCTTGGAACCCCACTCCTCACCCTCCTCTTGGCAGCGGCGGTGGGGGAAGAGGCAGATTTCGAGCACGGCTCCCCACTCGTCCACTTCTGGTGGGCGGCGGCGGAGGACGCCGGCGGGGGCTTATGTCATCGTAGTCCCTTCTGGAAGGAGGCAAAGGTCTGCTGCTACGAACAGGGGGCATGCGCTCAAAACCACCATGCAAACGGATGGGGTATCCACCCATGGGTCTCCTACCCCTGTCCTCAAACACCATGGTGAAGCCACCATAGTCGTATGTCTCATCGTAGAAGTTTGGGTCATAAGGCTGAGTGCGACCCTTTATTGGTGCCTGTAAATATAAAAACACAATTTAAAAACAATCACGAATTAAAGTTCAAAAGTACAGAATGATCAGATAATTAAGAAATAAACCTCAAGTTTGTTACGCACTCCCAGATATACACTTGCAGTAACTTTTTAGGTGCACCTTCCAAATATCAGGTTGGACCTACTTTTGTCTTCAGAACTGCCTTAATTCTTCTTCTTAAGGGATTTTGGACCATACGGACATGTTAGCATCACACATTAGCTGCATATCTGTCAGCTGCACATCCACGATGGTAACCTCCTGTTTCACCACATCCCAAAGAGGCTCGACTGGTTTGAGCTCTGGTGGTAGTGGAGGCTGCTGAAGTCCAGTGAAAAACCTCAGACCAGGCAATGTTTTCCCAGTCTCTTATTGTCCAATTCTGGTGAGCCTGTGTGAACTGTGATTCAAGTTTTTTGTCCTGAGCTGACAGAAGTTTTCAGTTTCAGTTTATTTTTTATTGATATAGCGCCAAGTCACAACAGAAGTCATTAACAAGGCAGTTTTTGTCCACACAACTGCCGCTCACTGAAACTTCTCTCTTTTTTGGAGCCATTCTCTGTAAACTCTAGAAATGGTTGTGTGTAAAAATCCCAGGAGATCAGTAGTGTCTGAATTACCCAGACCCTTAATCACCCTTAATTCCATTTTCATCTCCATTCCAATGCTTGGTCTGAGCCTCAGCAAGTTATTTTGAACATATTCAGATACCGAACTCAATCTTTTGACTGTCTGGTAAGCTATTGTGCTAACAAGCAAATGAACAGGTGCACCTAATAAAGTTTCTGGTGAGCGTATAAACTACATATACAACTTTTAAACAACCAAGAGTTTAAAGTCACCTCAGAAATGAGCTCCAGGATAACCTTTATACATTCAACAACCCGTTCTGACTTTCCCCCCACTAAGACAACTCTGTCAGTGGAGTGTGGACAGCATTCCTGAAACAACTTGATGGTAGTCTGGGTGTTCTAATGCACAGAGAGAAAAACAAGTTGTTGTTTTTTTTAAATCACTTAGACAGTGCCTGAGCAACAACACCATCAAAAGTAGCTTCTGATGAAACTCATTATGTCTCTACAGCTAAAACTTGTTTAAAGCAGCAGTTCTAATAAAAAGTGCATGCAAGAATGATTGCTATGGAAAAAGTAAACAGTGAACAAATGGTCAAAAACAGATGAAAACATTTTAAAAATCAAACTTCCCTGAACGATTTATTTACAGGGCCGTGTTTAGTGCAGAGGATTAGATTTGCTGATCTGAGCTCTACCTCTCTCAGTTCCTTTATCTTGGCACCTTTCACTCCAATGATGCCTCCAGCCAAGCTCTGATGGATCAGCAGGCGAAGCTCACAGTCAAAATCAGTCCCGCTGTAATGTTGGTACTACAGAAGTGGAAGACAGGCATTATCAGCAGGGCTTGTTTATTGTTGCTTAGCAAAATATTAAGCTTTTAATGTCTTCAACAACAAAAAAAAAAGGACAGTCAACGAAGCCCAGGGTTTAGAGATACATAAATTAAAATGCAACTTTAAACGTCTACCACCCACTGACTGGTTATCACATCATTTCACTGTTCCTATTTGGAGTGTAAATAAAACCAGACTTGCAGCTTGTTCAGCCCAGATTATTTTTATGTTTTGCTGACAAAACACTGAACTGATACTAAAAAAATTGTGGGGAAAAAAAAATAAAATAAAAATCTCATAAAAATAAATGCATTTCATAAATGGAGGTGGAGTTAAAGAAAAAGCAATGAAAATGTTTGGAAACATTCAAGTCAGTTTAAGATTTATCTGCTTAATAGAACACAATTAGAAATCTAAACATTAAGAACAATTAAAACTAACAGACAGAAAAGTTATGTTTATCATCATTTCAATGTAAAATATGTTAACTTAAACTACGATCAACTTACGCACAGTTACCACAACAGCTAAAAAAAAAAAGTGTATGGTATATTTTGTAAGAAACTCAAAAGTTGCAAATCTTTGTACAAAAACAATCAATAGAACAAGTTGAAGAGGATAAGCTACTGGCAGTCATAATAGACAAAACTTGTCTAAAAATATCTAAACGTTGATTTCATGCATCAATGTTCGTCATGGATGAAAGTTCATGACAAACTAGCATGCAGCCTTCTTCTCTCTTTACACAAAATCTGGACTTGACATAAACCATTTGGTCTTTTCTCACAGTCGTTACTGCTTTTAATACTAGACAAGCCTCTGTTGTTACTTTAAGATTACCTCTGCCTAGGACAATACTCTCAATAGAACAGCTGTGAATCGAGCCATTTCTTATTGGAACATGATGCCTTCTGGAATTACATTAATTGCTAATCATGTTAATTTTAAAAAGAATCTTTAAAAAAGCCATAATAGATAATGAAATAAAATTGAATTGACGAAACGATAAATTTACAATTGGAAATGAAGATTGTTAACTTTGGAATTGGTGAATTTTTGTCTTTTTAATTTGCGTTTTAAAGCATTTTGTCATTTGTAATGCTTGAAAAATGTTATCGACAAGGTTGGTTTGAATTTTTATATTGTGAATTTGTTTTCATCTTGGGTATTTTATTATGTCTTTTTGTATGTTTGTAAAAGCATGATTTAATTGCAATGTTTTTGGAGTGGACCCCAGGAAGAAGAGTCTCCACTATGGTAGAAACTAATAGGGATCCTTAAAATAATCAAATAAGCTTACCTCCTCCAGTGTTGGTATTATTTTCAGCAGGATATCTCCAATAGTGTCGATACTGGCGTTCACACCGAGAATCCTGCAAGAACCAGTTTGGCCAAAAGGAAGTAAGGAATTACACAACAGGCAGAGCAGAACTGCAAGTAAAACCTGAGCAAAATTAAAGAGAAACAGGCCAGCAAACAGTTAAGAGACTTATGAAAGGTTTAAACTAAAAAAAAGTGGTGGTGGTGTGTGTGTGTGTGGGGGGGGGCTGCTGCATCATTCGCTAAACTGTTACTTTTCCTCAACACTAAACTTTAAAAACTTTAAACTTTAAATAGGCAGCAGACATGCACTGAATCCTTAGGATGGGCAGATTGGGTACGGCTCAAATCAAACGAGACTGGCCACACAGATTTAGGAGAGGGCCGGAAGAGCAAGAGATCTTTTAAACTCATCTCACCATCAGCAAGTTGGGAGGAAAGGAAAGTCTTAAACAACAGCTTCCCATGATAACTGCACCACCAGCTCACCTTCTCATTGTGACCAGGGGGGGAAGAGGGGGAGGACCAGGGGAGAAGGGTGAGGTTGGGAGAAGAAGGCTAGGGCACCAAGGTGAGAGGAGACGAAAGTGGGCATTAGAAAACAGTAACAGCAGAGGGGTTGAGGAGGGGAAGGAAATGCGAGTGGTTACCAACGTCTTGGAGGCACAGAGCAGGAGCAGGTTGGGGGTGGGAAGGGAGGGGGATGTGGGCTATGAGAGATTTTTGTCAGCAGGTCTGATCTGATGCGGCCCGAGAGAAATTCAACAGGGGGATGTAGCACAATGAAATCAAAGAGTTAATGAAAGCCAGCACTCTCTCAGAGATCAAGGACAAGTGACGGTGAAAACAGTGGGGGGGGGGCAAAAGAAGAAATGGGTGGGGGTAAGGAGCGGGTTGGGAGAGAGCCAGGTGGGTCACAGAAGACAGAGCGAGAATTTCCACAAAATTTGGAATCAACTTAAACATTGTTGCGAGGAGATTCACCAGCAGATGTGTGTAAAATACAAATTACTGGGCAGTGGGCTGGTAATGACTTCCTGTACGGCTCATTAACGGCAACGACAAAGTCAAACTTAAGAGAGGTGCTACACATGGACAGAAAAAAAAACAATCAAGAAACAATGCATGTGTCTTACGAGTGGAGGAGGGGGTGTTTGGAAACTGTTATGTATAAAAATGTTAAAATGAAACAGAAGGCAGGTTATCAAAGACATGTGTTTCACTGTTCTAGTCAGGCGTGAGGCAATAACTGGTGGGACATACCGCTCTGGACCACTGCTGTCTGGGACTGATACACTGGCATTGTACTGCATGGGTCGAGGTGGTGGAGGTGGTGGAGGAGGTTGGCATTGGGCAGGGGCATTCAATCACATCGTGTCAAGTTAGGCACCCAAATAAGGAGAGGGCACGGTTTATGGGCGGGGCCGACCGGGAGTGTCAGGTGGGCGGGCGTTCAGGGGCGAACGGAGGTTGGGCCAGCGTCAAGGAGGGGCATGTCGATCCAGAACATGGGCAACGAAGGAAGGTGGGCAAAAGTAAAAAACAACAACAACAACAACAAAAAAAGTAAAGGAGAGGGGAAGAAGGGGGAGAAGGATTACAGTTTTTATCGAATACACTTTGTCCCAAAAGTGAACTTAGAGAATCTGTGGTGAGTGAAGAGGAACAAGAAGTGTGACTTGGACAATTCTTTAAAGCAATCTGGAGCAAAATACTATTTTACATTGCTAAAAAAAAAGGCTTTCCCCCTTCCATCAGGGTCTCAGTCAGCTGTTGCCACTTCACAGTAAAACATAGCTGCAGTTCTGTGAGTGCAAGTGGAAGAACGTTCAAGGTCACTGGCAGCAGGATTGGAACGTAAAAAAAAAAACTTTCTTGTCTGTACAACTTTGCTAAAAAAATTAAAACCAACAGACAAGACAACTGGAATTGTTTTGGGGAATTCAGTGAACTGAGCTTGGAGAGAAAATAAACTTAGGTGTAAATGTTCTCTTCATTTTAATTACCACTCAAAATTAAGTACAATAAAGAAATTAGGTCTGGAAAAAAGGTGAATCTGCAAAGTAAACTTTCTCCTCATAAGCCCCTGAAGACATTTTATCTGCCTACTTACGTCTGTGCGCAAAGCTTTTATGTTCTTGCCTCCCTTTCCGATAACAGCTCCGGCATTCTGCGAACAAGACCAAAGCAACAACAGCTTTAATAAGCAAAACATACACCTGGCTAATATAGCAGGGCTCATTATTTGACTTTACTTTGCTCTGAAGCAGCATGCGCAGTTCCACCATCTCATCTGTGTTGCGTGACCGTTTGAAGACCTTCTCCTCATCCATGTCCTCAGCAGGACGTTTACCTGAGGAGGACGACTAGAGTTAAACAGATGCAGAAGGCAGTTCTAAGCACTGCATTGCATATTTCTAACTAATCAACATAAAGCTTATACATTTTATAGTTGCTTTAAATGACAGAACAAGCTGAAAAGATAAAAATGTGAAAAACAGTGGGTTTTATTCAGCAGCCAATTGCAACCTGGGTAAGTTCCAGCACCATCATGTACACTTCCTGAATGAAAGCATGGCCAGATCTGCTCAGAGTCCACAGAACAGCAGTAATCTGGACAAGAAAATCTTTCAACCATCTGACACGTCCACATGCCTTGTAGTACTAGCCAGAAGTATACATTTATTTCATTTTTTCCCTTCTTGACAGCAAACCCAGCATGCTGTATACCTAAAACCTTCATGCTGGCTATAAGACTAGACAGGCTGAGTTTATTTTCATCCTAATGTGTCAGCCTAATAATGCAGTTTACAGTATATTTTGTGATGACAAGGCAAAATGAAGACATTGCGAAACTTACCATTAGTGTCAGAATTGCTGAATGTGTTGTCTTCGTCTTGCTCTTCGACTGTCATCTCCATTGTCATGAACTTGCTTTGGAAAGCAAACTGGTTTTCCCCTTTGGATCTATTATAGAGTCGTAATTATATGGTTTAGAGGGGACAAAGATGAGAAGTTGAATAATACAGACTGTCATGCATATTGTGCACAAAGAAAGAAAATCATAGGTGATTAATCAAGTTTGCAACAAACATTTAAACTGCATCGTGTCATATTAAATAAATCTCTTGCATTTGTATTTCGCGTTTGACCAATCGTGTGCAATTACTACCTAACAAAGCACTGAAAAACAGATTATTTTCAAAATCATAACCATTTTATTAGTTAGGACTTACTGCACTGGTATCAAAGTGTGTCAAAGGCTAAGCTCTGCAAAAAGTCAATAGTTCACCTTTATGTGTAACTAAACAACTCAGTCCAGTTCACCAAATGTATATCATTTTAACTTGTCACAGCACAAGTACATGAAACAACAACTAAGTTCAATCTCATGTGCTTCTCTCTGCAAGCATCACTAAACCAGAGGCTAACTTCAACACTGGATGCTAATCAAGAAGCACGCACAATGCTAAAATGCTAACAGCACCCTTTTTATGTACTGGGGGCTGCATCTGGAACAATCAGCCATTTGTGTAAATAACTCACCACCACCTACAAGCCGTCTTTGTGTTTGTTAAAATAAACTACGGCACTCTTTTAAAGAAACTGCGCAGTTCCGACAGGAAACGTGTTTCTCTGCAGACTCGTCTGCTCACAAGCAGAAGTTAGCATAGCAGTGTTGATGTCACTTTCTCGTGCTAGCAGCTCTGCTAAGCTAGTTTGTCGAATAGCTAGGTGCCTATCAGCTACACTGACTGACTTTAATCATCCTCGGCCAGGAAAAAAAAAGGCTAACTAACACAATACAAGCGTAAATAAAGCTGAAAACAAACCTGCAAGTTCACTACGACCCTCAGCAGCAGCCTCGCCCTATAAACGCTGCTTCTTACTGTGGGTACGCTCGATTTGTTTCCTACGCTCAACACCCGGCGCTTGTCAAGTTAGAAACAGGTGGGCGGGTCTATAACAACAAACTCATCATAATGATTTGGTAGATCAATAATTGCCACGAAGAGCAATTTATTAAAATCTTGCTTAATATTAAAATGATAATTATATTTAAAAAATAGTGTCTAGTTGAGGATCACAGGAAGGATCAAAACACACCTTTCATGAATAAACATTCAAGAATGACATATTTCCCCCTTAACCCCAATTCTCTAGTGTTTATGAACATTATTGCTAGAAGAGTAATATTACTCAAATGGAAACTACCCCCCCCCCTTACACTGGCTCAGGAATATTCATTACTTTATTAATCTTGAAAAAATGAAGATGTCATTGCATGGCTTGTTGTGCACATGCAGTTGTAATGGTAACTTTCCCTCTGTACCAGATTAGCTGCTATTATTATTATTTATTGCATTATATGCATATTTCTGGGATTTTCTTTTCTGGTGGTTTTCTTTCTTCTCTTTTCTATTTACTTTTTACACATATATGTGCATGACTAATGGCAATACTGACTTTTCTTATTTGAGAATGGTGGTTATTTTATTTTATTTTTTTCCTACATGGTACTTGACGTGAGTGGAGACTGTGTCTGTTTTTCTTTCTTTTTTTTTTTTTAGTTCATACCTTTATGTTTTTAAGGAAGTTGTACAGTTTGTTTTATTTGTACAGTACAATGCAATAATAGTGCTATGACTGTACAATTTGTTAAAAATCAAATAACTAAAGTTTTTTGGGGAAAAAGGAATGACATATTTGAATTAATAAACATTTGGTTACGTGTATAAAGGAGTCACTGCTGGACCATGGATATTTCTGTAAAGGAATGTCCTTGAGGATGAACAAAGGACTCTTTTTGTACCATCTTTATGGGAAAAAGAGAAAGTACTCTTTCTCCGCATGGATATGAAGAAAAATCAAACATCCGCTCAGTCCTGTTTAACCTCCGAGGTCAGGTTCATAAAAAGGCCTTTCATAGGTTACTGAGTTCATGTTTGGCAGGTTTAAAAGGTTAGTGCACAATAACAGTCTTTATTGTTATTGTCCAATTTAGAAAGTGGTGGAAATGAAGAAACAATTGTTTTATAAAATACGACATCTGTTTCAAAAGAATGGATCGGTCTTATTTTAATAGTATCAAAAAATTAAAGATTTAACTTAAACCCTGGTGTGTCACTACAAGTGTTTTTTATTTTTCAACTAAACATTGTGCACTTTTTTTTTTTTTTTTTGGACAGGCAAAACAAAAAGGTACAGCTTTGTTTTAAGAGTTGTCTGTTTTTTTTTGTTTTGTTTTGTTTTTTTTGTGAACACTCATTCATCTTGTAAATTTAGGAGTCTTTTCATGCAGGATATCGACAGATTAGTTAATGGTTTAACTAAAAAATGCTCCTCTAAAATCAACAGGGGCCAAAACAGCTAAAGATAAAAAGAACTGGTTTTGTAAGCTCAGAAAACAACAAAAAATGGTTAAAGAGTGTCATCTGAACCTGTTTCTTTAAGAGAGGAAACGTTTTGTCCCCCATCCAGAGGACTTCATCAGTCTACGGCCTGTCAACCAGATCTGCCCCATAATAAGTAACCTCCATTGCTGTGTTTCAAGCCAAACTCCTGTTGGAATTTCAGAAGCAGACTTTTTAACACGTGCAGACAGAACACACCCATCCGAAACCATCAATCATCATTAACAGCAATCAAGTGTTTTAGGCCAGATGTCCAACTTGTTACTCACAGAAACAACCTGAGGACAACCAAAGCCAAAGTGGTTAAGAAAAAGGTTTTGTAAGCTCAACTATCCAGGTAGATAACAACAAAAAATGGTTAAATCATGTCATCTGGATCTGTTTCTTTAAGTGAAGAAACATTTTGTCTCCCATCCAGAGGACTTTGTCAGTTTGCTGCCTGTCAGCCAGATGAGTGCTTGCTATTTATTTCTGTGACTAGCAAGTTGGCCATCTGGTCTAAAACACTTGATTGCTGTTAATGATGATTGATGGTTTCGGATGGGTGAGTTCTGTTTGCACGTGTTAAAACACCTGCTTCTGAGCAGGAGGATGGCTTGAAACACAACAATCAATCTGGTTGGCAGGCCACAGACTGACAAAGTCCTCTGGATGGGGGACGAAACGTTTCTTCACTTAAAGAAACTGGTCCAGATGATGTGATTTAACCAATAAAGGGATTGTTTTTGTAAGTGCAGCATGTGTTGGTCTAATGTGAATGCATTTTTTTTTTTTTTAACTAATAGAGTTGTTTTGTCTTTGGCATGATGTGCTGGTGCAAAACAGATAAAACTGGTTGTATCCAAACCTGGATCACTCAGGTAAAAACTGATTCAGTTCAAGTGGTTTATAGTTGTGTCAGAGTTCAGGACAAGTCTGCCCCCAGCTGGTTCAGATGGAGCTCAGAGACTTTTGAAAGGCAAAACTGCAAAAAGGAAGAAACTCCTCTATAAACTAAAGAAACAAATACAGAAATTGGATCATTTACTAGCACACGCTCAAGTTTTGGTTCCTGAAAAGGCAAAGCGACTGAAAGTTGAGCTATTTCCAGCTAAGTGCACTAAGAAAAGTTTAAGTGGCTGCTTTAAATGTTCCAGTCAAACTCTTTTTTTTTTTTTTTTTTACATTTTGACAATAAATTCATAAACAGCTGATGCATTTAATCATATAATGTATTTATATTCCTGCTCAGTGCAGATCAATTTCTTTAGATTTGTTTCCATTTGATCAGCAAAGCAATAAAATCAAATTCCTGAGCCCAAACCATGAATCCACGCTCCCCACTTTAATTCCTTCAAATTCAAACGCACGAATCGTGACCATATGTGACCTATCCAGCATCCTTTTCTTCTTCTTCTACTTCTTCTTCTTCTGGTGTGTCATGCATGCTCCCTTAGATCAGAGCACTCTCTTCCCATACTCTGAGGTTGCCATGGAGACAGATATAATTCAGTTCTTGATGTTTCTCATGAAAAGAAGAAAAAAGAAAAAGAGAACGAGAGAGAAAAGCCTGCGTACATATTTTCATCTGCAACCATAGCGACACTTGACATTGTCCACGGTATTTGAAAAAAGCAAGTCACCATAGCGACACTAACCATCCAGACTGTGTCGTGGATCATGTGTCCTGGCTGCCTCCTATAACCATGAGGGTGCGTGTGGGGGGAGTTAGGAATCCTCTGGTAAACAGGATCTATTTGACCATTATTTGACTTTTATTTTGCATAAATACGTAAAAAAATTAAATGAAAATGAGAAGATGTGAGAGAAACCTTATTATTGGTGAGCAGCTTTTGAGCCCATGGGTCAGGGTTAATGTTTCAGAGTTACATTTTCGAAGTCGCCCCCTTCCCTAAAATATGGTGTTCAAACTCTCAGAAATCTTTATTGTGTGTGTGTGTGTAAGGGGGGGAGACACATTTCTGGTTGCTCCATCTTGCACTGCTCAGACAGACCTATTTGAAGTTTGCAGACATAGTATGGGTAATTATTTTTCATAGATGCACCCCATCTTGTGCGTCACCCGTACGTCACACAAGGCAACCGTACAACAGCGATGGAAGGAAAAAAAAAAACAGTTTTATCCAAAGCATGGCTTCAGAGTAACCCCATCAGAGGAGTTTCTATCTTTATGTCCCAGATGAGTTCAGTCTCAGCTGCAACTTTGGTTATTTATTTATTTGTTTATTCGAACTGTCAAATAATTTCTGACAACATCTGCGCAGTCACCATCCGTCCCAGCGCGGATGGGCTCCGAGCTGCGGCTGATAATCGATAGACGGATGCAGGTGTAGTCCTCCTCCTCTTCCTCCTCCTCCTCCTCCCCCTCCTCCTCACGCAGCATCTTCCACGCGCTCTGCCGTGCGCCTTCCCTCTCCAGTAAGAGAGAAATCGCCTGTAGAGGAGGAAGGAAGGAAGGAAGGAAGGAAGGAAAGAAGGAAGGAAGGAAAGAAGGAAGGAGGGAGGTTGCCTATTGATCTCTAAACATCTGGAGCACCTCATATTTGTTTTACAAGGCAGAGGCGAGCGGCGGAGGCAGGAGGTGGAGGAGGGAGGGCGGGGAGTGAGGCAGCATCAGGACCAGGACTAGCAGGACCAGGACCAGGTCCACTTGACACCGAGATGCAGTGACAGCAGCTCTGCGGAGACGGGAAGGCCATCCATGGCATCTTGATATTAAAACCGTGGGCTTTGCGCATTCCTCACCAACGGCGCAGTCTCTCTCTCTCTCTCTCTCTCTCTCTCTCTCTCTCTCTCTCTCTCTCTCTCTCTCTCTCTCCCTCTCCTTTTTTAAAAATTTTTTTTTTATGTTTTCTGCGGATTCGGAAAAAAAGGACTAACTTGGGCCAAAGAGACAAGGCGGCAAGTGCAACCATCTGAGCAAACCGAGCCGTTCCACTCTGCTCTGCTCTGGCGCGCGGCTCTCACGGCCGGACTCCTGCGATGGACTCCGGCGCGGGGGGGTGTCATCATGGCATGGCTCGGCTCGGACTGTTTGCGCTTCTCGTGGGGCTGTGGTGGAGACTCAGCGACGCTTGTCCGGAATCGTGCACCTGCAGCATCTCGCGGATCGTCTGTATCGATTCCGAACCGGGGATCGAGGATTTCCCCATGCTCACGCTGGACGACATGGAAAACATCACCGAGATGTGAGTGATGGGGGAGAGGGGGGGAGGGAGGTAATATAGAGGTGGAAGAAAAAAAAAATGGAAATGATGGAGCAGACATCTTATGAACTTATTAGGAAGCAAAGAGCTCCTGAATGCAACACTATTAATATTAATAATAATAATAATCCACTCATCCTTTTTGCGCATGACGCTAAAGAATGTTCAGTTTTGTTTTTTTGGTTCTGATCACCGGGGGTTTGCCAGATCCCATATTGGCTCGTATTTATGCGCGCGTGCGTGCCAGCGTGTAGTGTGGAGGAGATAGTGGTTGCGCGTGCGCGTGGAGAAAGCGCGCGTCACGCTTATTTGGATTTATGGCGTGTTTGGCCGCGACAAAAAACAGCTCCGGAGGGGAGAGATGTGGA